CCAATTCTATTCCTTCAATTTTTTTGTTTTTCACACAAAATTGAAAATAAATATTGAAAGGTCTGTCCGGTTTAACAAATTCTTTTTTTATGTTTTCAAAAGACTAAATACGATTAAAAATGTGAAAAAAAAGAAATAGGGTCCCCCCAGAAAAAAAAATGAATTTGTGTTAGGCAAAATAAAGAACAGCAGAAAGAAGTTACATTGAAATGATGGGTGTAGAACATAATATAGGTCACCCAAAACCTTTGTGTTAATACCGAATATTTCCATCTCTGACATTTGGATTTTTTGGAAAAGATTTCTGATAAAATCATGATGAAATCTTTCCCATTCATAAAAAACAGCCGTTTCCAATGTTTCTAGGTTGTTAGGACTGGATTTTGCCACCTCTGTGGATTGAACTCGTCGTTTAAGTTAGTTACAAAAGTGTTCGATCGTGTTCACATCTGGACTTCGTGTTGGCCACACTAAGCGTTCAATTCCAACCTCATTGAGATAGTCATCCACAGTATTTGCTCTCTAGGGTCTGGCATTATCCTGCATTAGCTAGAATCTCTGACCGTCGTGGGGGCAAATACCAATACATGCGCTTCAATTATGTGGGACGTCCCCATAACATGAATGACCAAGCCACCGATCACCGTGGGATGCCAATTGAGAAACCATACAGCATGGGGCGTTTCTCCTGAGCATCATCAAATGAAATGTCGCCCTTTTTAAAATTTGAAACCAACTCTCGCCTATCTCTAAAGAGGACTCGTCCCTAATCTTCCATTGTACATGTTCCAATGCCTGGCCATTTTTTGAGCTGTGGTAAGAAGAGGCCCACGAGCCGGGTGTCGAGCCCTGAGGTTATTTTCGAGGCCTTCGTCTTACATTCGTGGAGGCATTCGAAGCATTTTGAACTTGTCTTATCAGACTTCTTATCTCATTTCCCGTAATGTTGCGGTTTCGTACAGTCTGATGACGGATGAATTGATTTCGTCAGTAGACCTAGTCGGCCCTGTTCTGATCTAGTATGAAGCCTTTTTTTATGAAGCGCCGAAAAACTCTTCTTATTGATGATGATATTAGTGATGATTTGATGATGATATTAGTGATTGATATGATTTTTTTTTTGGATACCAGGGACTGGAGGAGTTCCCTCCTGCGCATTGCAGCTGAGCTGTACAGCTTATTGTACTTTATCCCTGGATCCATATTTTGGGAGAGGGCTCGCAACACTAATGTGAACTTGAGACCCTGTTGTACCGGTGTTCTTCCATCGAAGAAACTCATTTTTTGAAGGGGGTTGGGACCAAATTCAGGGTCGCTGAGATCCGATCCCGCCCCTTCCATTGCATCCAATTTCTTTCAATTGCGGCCACCGGTCCCCTTAGGTGTCAGAAAAAATCCAGAGGCGACGGTGGGGATCGAACCCACGACCGCGGGATCTACTAGCTGAGAGTCTGACGCCTTAACCACTCAGCTACCGCGGGCCATCCCCCCATTGATATGATGATGATGATGATGATATTAGTGATTGATGATGATGATGGTGATATTAGTGATTGACACTCAATATCCTGGCTACTTCGCGGTGGCTGTATCCTTCCTCTAATACTGTTATGACCCTGACACTGTCATTCTCACTCACATGCTTGACTGGAGCCATTGAAAATGTTTGGGAATAAGAATAATATCAAATGAAATGAACGAAGAAAAAAGATTAACTGAAAGCAATCCTTAGACGTAGCGGAATGGAAATGCATAAGGTTACGTTTTGGGGATTAATCAGTACAAAAGTAAAAAAAAGGAAGTCAACAAAGCATTATTTACTGTTTATTTTGACTACGATAGCTATTATCTGTAACTAATATAGAAAGATAATGGATTTAATTTTAAACTCAATAAACTGAATGGTGCATTAAATTTGTGCATCAATGTTTAATTTGTGTTTATTTTTTCAAGTCTGTACTCATGCGTGTGTATAAACATATATACGTCTAGAATTGAGCTAAATAAATCTGGAATTAGTATTTATATTGTTTTTTGGTTATTATGTTTAATGTACATAATAAATACTGTTTGTGGCAATTAAAATTTTAAATAAATACAACTGTGTTCGTTTTTCTCTTTCCATTTAGTTACATTCGTCGAAAAATTATAATATCTTTGTAAGGTACCGTCAAATTTTGAACGGAATTGGTACTCAAAAGGAGTAAGAGCGATTCGAATCGAAAGCTTTCGATGAACGACATAAAATAAATCATGCTGGTCGTAAGCGGTTGAGAATATATGAAGGGGAACGCGTTATACCATTTTAAAAGCAGTCCCAAAAAAATTAAACGGAAAACTCAGTATTAGGCAACCCGGTTGTGTCTTAAAATTAAGATAATCTTTTCTTTTGCGATTTCTACTTTGGAGAGAAGGAACGTACATTGGAACTGATTTATGTGGGACCAANTCTCAGATCCATGATAGAGGTGTCCTTAAGCACAAAACCGAGACTTTTAATAGGTCATTCTCAGTAAAAGGTGCAATAACATTTTTGAGAATCCCTACATACATAAAACGATGTAAAAATATCAAAGATTGCCAGAATCGTCTTAAAAATCATCTCTTATCTAGTTATAATTGATGTCTTAAATTTAACTTCTTTTGTTGTTTTGCCCTGTTTTTGTTTTTTATATTACTATTTAGTGAGTAAATTTTTAAAATTTGTAGATTTAGATTAGTGATTTATAATTCATTATTTTTACTGGATTGTATTGAAAAGCATTTCTGTTAACTTATTTTATTTTACTAGCAACTTGCTTTTTAATTGCTCAATTATTATGTAAATTACAATGTTTATTTCAATAAGCAATTTTAAGTAAAAGTGTGGTGATTAGTGACTGTTTAGTCGAAGATTATTCAGAAATCGTGAGATGCGGTCTAATGTGATGTAGGTTTCCGAAAACATTTTCTTTAACGTGCCAACGTTTCGATCTTTATTGAGATCATCTTCAGGGTCTGGGATTTACAAAAATTGTTTAAATTTAAGAAATACATGTGGGATGTGGATAAAAGTGAATTTATACAATGCAAAATATATTTTTTATATTCATTCAAAGTATTTCTACTCACTCAAACTGTTTGTCTTCTGTGTAATTGTGCCATTCTTGCGTGTCGTGTCAAGAGTGCCTGTGAGATTTTGTGTTTATATACGTTGGATTTTGAAGGGGTGGGGAAGGGTGTCGGTATAGAAAAAACATTTTTGTATAAGGCGTCGGTTTCTTTGAGGTGAAAAGAGCCGACGAAGGGAAAGAACGTTGGTAAAGGTTCGGCCAGGTTATCCTTTCAGGATTATATAAACGGGGATACATAGGAAAAGGAAAGCTAAATTGTTGAAAAATTAGAATATGTAGAAATATGTGGAATGTGATGTGATGATATATGTATAAGAAGCCGACGCGTTACACAAAAATGTCTTTTGTATACCGTTTCCTTCCCTACCTCTTCAAAATCCAACGTATATAAACAAGAAACAGCAATATCTCACTGGCATTCTCAACACAACACTCAAGAATGGCACAATTACACAGAAAACAAACACTTTGAGTGAGTAGAAATACTTTGAATAATACTTTGAATGAATATAAAAAATATATTTTGCATTGTATAAATTAACTTTTTTCCACATCCCACATGTATTTGTTAAATTTAAACAATGTTTGTAAATCCTAGGCCCTGAAGATGATCTCAATAAAGATCGAAACGATAGCACGATAAAGAAAATGCTTTTCTGAAACCTACATCACGCCAGACCGCATCTCACAATTTTTGAATAATCTTTATGTAAAAGTTCAATGTAAAACGAATAGATGGAACATATTGACCACAAAAGTAAGGTTATTCGGTATAATTAATGTTTAGTAAATTAGAAGAAAGTTAAACTTAGTAACCATTGTATTTCACATTAGATGTCCGAATGGTCCTTGGGAACAAATCTTGTGTGATTGATAAATAAAGCGTTCATCATCATCATCTCTATGTACTCTTATAATCATTATTAAGACATATTGCACTTTATAAAACTTACTACATTTCACAAACTTGAAGCACAATTATGTTGAATAAAAAATTAATAACAATTAATTATACTAATTATTATCACTACTTTTGTTGTAAGAGTTAATATGGATTCATGCAATTTGTTTTATTTTTTTCCTTTTTATAATATGTATATAAATTTCCGTGATGATTTCCTGCAATTGTAAGTAGTTCATGGTTCCCTGTTTCAATAAGTGAAAACATTTGTTTGTAGGATCGAGTTTAATTTAAATTAATTGAAAACTAAGGAGACATAATTATATAAAGAATTCTACTTTCGATTTGTACAAATTACTTGTGAAGACGATGTACACCATAACATGATATTATTTCAATGTATCTCGTTAAATGTAAGGGAGATCCTTGAAACATAATTTTGTGAGTAAAAATAAAGCGATAAGATCAAATTAAATCTCTTTCTTTCTTTCTTAATTTTCTTTTACTCTTCCAGTCTTTCACTCACTTTTTGCTCCTTTTGAATTTTGGTCTTTATTTTCTCAGCTCTGTTAATTCTTTCTTTCTGACTTACCCTCATTTTTTCAATGTCTGTCTCTGTGCCCTTCTGTATATCCCACTCACTCTATTGTTTTGCATTCATCTGTTATCGACAGTGGGATGTTTTGAAGCCAGCTTCTCCCGACTTTTAGTTTCAATTAATTTAAAACAGGAATCATTAGTGGAATTAAAATAAAAACAGTTTTATGGTTATTGAATATAGAAAATAGTCATTAATAATTTAGCGTAGTAATTATTGTTAAAATAATCTGCAGATTCTAGCAATTTTATGTAATGCCACTGGTAGTCGAAGGGATCGCTGATTGAGGAAAGGAAGGGAACCAAAGGATTTATGTGAAACGAGCTATCTGTGGAACTTTAATTTTAGAAGGGTAGAAAGGTACTAAATTATAATCAAATCATTGTTGTAATGTTTGTGATCATATGTTTGTTTTATTTAATTTCAATAAATTGTACATCAACTTCCTTGAATGGACGACGATCGATTGCGACAGCGACGGCAACATCTGTAGAGTGCTAGAAACAACGCAATGCAAAGTTCCATGACAATTGTATACAGGACTAAGACGGCCAGAATATAATCACCAGGGCCTTTAATGTCGCCAAGTTTTTCCTTCACGATCAACTGAATGGTACAAAGCATGTAGGTTGAGAATAGGATGACGGAGACGTAGGAGTACACAATATGTAGGGTTTCCATGTTCATGAAAATTCCGATGCTGGATGAGATGCCCATGGCGAGTACAGCGATGAAAAAGAGGGCGTAGTAGATTTTGCACCCGGTCACATTTAACGACGAGCACCTGACCACGATGGACATCACAATAGCCACTGCGAACGCGGAAGACAGAGACACGTAAACGGAGTCGAGTGCGGGCACCGCGGCGGTTATCGTCACGACCAGCCCTAAACACATCGTCATAAAAAGGAGAAAGATTATTCTATAGTGTGGATTCCTTCTCCTTCTGAGGTGTTCGGAGAAGGTGATCCCACCACCAAGTACGCCAAAAACCGTTGCGGCTAGAATGGCGAACTGTGGGTGTGTTTCCGCCCATTCTAATGTCTCTTCGTTCGATGTGAGTCCTACGACGATGAGAACTATTATGACAATCTGGCTAGCAACGATGACATACATTTTCGCAGCGAATATCCTTTGCAACCTTTTGTTCGCGAAGCCCACCGGAACGTCAATCGATTCCATGTCCTCCTCGAGCTCCTCGCTCGACATGTCTCCGACAAGTGAGGAATTAATAAAATGGAAAATTCACTAAGTTGTCTGAAAATTATTTCTTCTTTAAAGCCGATATTTAACGGGATTAACATCCTCATATTTTTGTCCATCAAAAAAGTGCAATAAAAGTTTTTTTTTCACATTTGTCTACTCGCATAAAACAAAAGTATGTAAAACATATGTTTTCATTCTAAAATCCATGTTCTTGCATTTACAAACAAGGAATTAGTAAACTTTCGAAACTGGTCTCGAAATTAGTCAAATCTTAATTAATAGCAGGCCTGGTTCTCGTCGGCCACGGTGATGTCAAGTAGTGTCCGATACTCACATCTCCAAACCCTGGGGAAGCACAACAACCTGATGATATCTTGGGCCAAGGCAAGGGGAATTTTGGGTAACGAGAAAGCAGGCCCCGAACCTATTCTTGGGATAACAAAAACAAATATAGAATCCTCCATCGCAGAATGGATCCAAACAAAACAAAATGAGAAGTGGATAAACTCTAGCGGTGTTAGACATAGTAAACGTATGATGAAACAACTCTCACCAAGACTGGCAAAAGCACTGCTACAATTGGAGAAGGTCAACTCAGAGGAGTGGTAGGAGTACTAACCTGGCATCTGAGAAAACATCTGCACAACATGGGTATATACAACGATGATCCCAATTGTAGATTATGTAATGAGGAGGAGGAAACAGCCACTCATATCATCTTCGAATGCGAAGAAACAGCTCAATGGAGATTTAACCTAACATACGGAAAAAATTTAGGGAATCAAATTGCAGCAGCGACAGTCAATGACCTGATACTTCTAAGAAGAAGGATTGAGTCTATTGCACTGAACTAAGGAATTAGGAAGGTACAATAAGCCAGAAGGGGAGTGCAAACCCCGCTTCCTAGTATCCTTTTTCACCATACCATACCATACCGACACTCACTTCTTGCACGTTGTTGGCAATATGAGATAAAACCGAATGTTAGTATATTATGATATACATATAAAAGCGGAAAATCAGCACCTAGATTGGGACGCTCAATGAAAAGCACGCAGAGGGCGGGCAATAACCTCACTTGTTTGTCACAACCTCACCTAAACATGAAAAAAAAGTACACACATATATATTAAACAGTACACACTTAGAGGCAACAAAAAAATTATCTCTTAAACTCCATTGATTATTTTACAACTACATTTGGCCCATTTTAGAGGGATAAAGCATAAATAAAATGTACTGTCAAGTGTATAACGCCTTGAATTGAATATTTTCTTCATTTTTTCCATTAGCAACACAAAATTATTTTACTAAGTTTGATTTTCATTTATATACGTCATATTATTATGACTATTTTTTTTAATGTACAGTAAAAAAAAATATTGCTATTGTGTGGTGATTACTCAGAAAACAAACACTTTGAGTAGAAATACTTTGAATGAATATAAAAAATATTTTTTATTTTGCATTGTATAAATTCACTTTTTTTCACATCCTACATGTATTTGTTAAATTTAAACAATGTTTGCTGTGCGATCAACCAGCTTTCATACAATGTTGATTGGGATTCGGGTTGTGGTCTTCAAACATACAATGTTATTATATCATCGCCCAAGATTTCGACAAGTTTTATTGTCTTCTTCAGGGGATCTACAGAGACATAGGGACATAATCATTTAGACAGTTATAAATTGTATAAATAGTTATAAAATATCAGTTTTTTGTTACTTACAGATACAAAGTCAAATCGTAAACACATTGACACAAACACAACAACACATACAAACAAACTATATACATATATAATAAACAAATAAATAAATAAAAACCTCTTCTTAACAGCCTCTTACATATATAGGCATTTTTTAAAACCAGTAACAATTACTTAATAAATAATATTCTTTTTTGTATATAAATATCAGAGGCGTTTGTCTAGAAAATTGTGTTTATCACGTTATCAGGTGGGAGGTTCCCCACAGTATCACCTAATGATAACAATCATTTCCCACAATTTGTAAAAACAAGATCTTAATTTCTAATACATTGGTAATTCTATGTTATCACAGCCTGTTATAATATATAAATAAATAAATAAATAGATAAATAAATAAATAAATATGTACGCAAGTATTGTTACGATCTTTTGAGAGAGACCTTATCTTTTTCTAGAATCCCACTGTACATCACACTTAAATTATTCAAATCTGTTTTTAAATTACAGGCCATGTTGTCCTGATGAATAGATATCATTTCCCTCAAAAGTCTACGACCTGTATTTTGTTCAGAAGCCACAATTTTGACTCCATCGAAGTCAAAATTATGTTTCGTAGCGTGTGTATGTTTGGATAGTGCTGTTCCCGGCCTTTCTTCATCATTGCAATCATACTTATGTTGCCGCACCCGTTCGGATAAATATTGTTTTGTTTGGCCGTAATACACAGTGGGACATTGTGCACATTTAATGCGATACACTACATTAGATTTTTGTAGTAGAGGTTCTTTACATTTAAGTTTTGTGTAAAAATTCTTACCTACTTTATTGCTAAATTTGTAAACAATTTTTACATTATCTATTTTTCCTTTCAACAGTTTTTTTAACTTGCTTGATGTTCCAGCTACATATGTAACTGGTAGATAAAGTTTCCGCTCGACAGTTATATTCTCAACCCTTGTTGCTCTTGTCTTGTTTTCCATTAATCTATTTATTAATGATCTGGGATAACCATTATCTGTAGATCCCCTGAAGAAGACAATAAAACTTGTCGAAAGCTTGGGCGTTGATATAATAACATTGTATGTTTGAAGACCACAACCCGAATCCCAAATTTAAACAATGTTTGCAAATCCCAGGTCCTGAAGATGATCTCAATAAAGGTCGAAACGTTGGCACGACAAAGAAAATGTTTTTCTGACACCTACATCACACCAGACCGTATCTCACGATTTCCGAATAATCATAACTATTGCAGTATTTAGAAAAAAAAAAACTCGAGGTTTGCCAGTTTTTTGCTTCTCATTATATATACATTATGTCCTATTTGAGACGCTTTAATTGGTAATATATCTTTACAGACAATATACGTACGGTCTGGTTAAGAATAAAACAAGTAAAATAAAACGACAATTATTGGAATGTGTGATAGATAATGAAATACCTAGGTCATAGTCAGTCGTGTTGTTGGGTCAGGGTCGCAACACTAGGTTGATCTCAAACTACTAATAATAAGCATAAGGAAATAAGGAAAAACTGTATTTGAGGGAATTGAAATGTAGGGATTTTTGTGGTGTTCCCTGCGAATTGTAAACGGTGTAGGTTTGAGGGTACAAAATGAGACAAACTTGACAATTGAAATGAAAATTGTACCTCGAGAAGGGAAAACTGAACTGAATTCGAAAGGTAAAAAATTGTACTGATAGGTTTGAAAACGAAGTCAGGGAGAACGCCCTACTCCATTAAGCAAGATTGAGCTCGGCGTAACTTTCAGCCGTTAAATTAAAAAAAAAAAATAACACCCGATTTTTGATCGTTTAAAATTCGGCACCACGCATTTACTGACCGCTGCAGTTGTTGGTCAATCACACAGCACCAATTTTTTGTTAACGATTGATCAGTAATGGTAATCAGTGGCAATTTGACGATGTATCTTATAAAAGTAGTTTCGTCGAAGAAACTCTGATTTGACTCTTGCAGATTTACCTTTTACGGTTCTCTTCAGAAGATATTCCTTGGTGTAGAGTTGCATGGTAGGGGTGACGACAAGATCGTTTCAGAAGATTTTAAATTTTCTACCGCATACTTTGATTAAATATTGTTACGAGTAATCTGAGTATTATTGTTCACTTCGTGAAGCTCAGAGCTCAATATTTTCAATGCCTTCGTATTTCAGACAACTTGTCCTTCCTTGTTTTAGCAAACCAGCCGAAAACTTCTTGAGGTAAGTTTCTGTGTGACACTTATGCTTTCTGTCTCTTTCTAGCACCATTTTAAGCTGATGACATGTTCAGCTTAATTGGAATTTGATAGAATTTGATTTTGCCTGGCGCTATCTTGAATAATGTCTTACTGAAAACTAAATGCACCGCGTTTATTATTGTTTATTGGTCTGTGTTGTATGATGTAGGTGAGAAGTTCAGGAAACTTTTCAGGAAAGCTCCCAACCTCAGTGGACCTGGTATGCACTGTGAGGCATCAGTTTAAATATGCCTTTAAAGTCTCTCTAAGCCCCGTTTTCTACTATTCGCTGGCCTTGAGATAATAAAAATCAATACGTTCTGCTTCTCACACTGACATACTACTCAGAAATATTCCACCCTACATAACTTCACTACTGATAAATCCCTGAATGGAAAGCTAATTTTTAACTAATGTAAAAATTAGTGCTTGACATCAACGAGTCTTTGGGGCTTGCTCTGGAATCAAATCACTTTTTCCAGAATAAAGATGTGAATCATACAGTTTCCTACTACGACTTTGTTTCTCATTCCAATTGACATTTGAATTTTGAAGATTTTCTATGGTTGTTTAAAGCGAGATGCCGGCAAATATGATTAAATTACATTCCATGGATGAGCCCTCTATGTAACACTACAGTCAGAAAGGATGGTTTTCGCTGCAATTTCCTGTATATAATTGAATTAATAAACGATCTAAACTTTGAATAACTCCAACTTATTAAATGTTGTAGAGTTGTCTGTTACAGATATGCTTTTGTTAGAGAATTAATTCTAAAACAGTGAATAACAATTTTATGTTTTATTTTACCTTATATTCCTGAATTTTCATTTCATTTTTCTTTATATGTTGTTAACTTATTCATTTACCTCTGGGCAGAAATTTTCATTGCTATATTATGCAGTGATTATTTTATTTGAATTGCCGTAACACATATATCTTTATTATTGTTATTACTATAGTAATTTTATAGTGGCATCGTTCAGATGTGTGCTATTAATTTCATGTTACTATGGCTGGTAATTTGGCTTGAAAGATGGTTGAGTGGATCCCAAGGTCATGTGGTGCTAATACTGAGGCACTTTTATTCCCATTCCCGTTCAATCTCAAACTCTAGTGAAGGATTAAATAAAAACAGAAAAAGATTGAAAATCACTGAAAACACTTTTAACACAGTCCAATTATGACCACGTAGGCCGAATTACCATTAATCCTTAAATATACACCGACAGGCAAAAAATTCCACCCCAACTGATTTCTTTTCATTTTCTCTATAAAAGAAAATTCTGCCTTTAATGTGTCTTATTGCTTTTATCAATAAATATTTGTTTATGCTATATTTTAAATTGGGAAATATCAATTAGACGTAAACACACTTAATCCCTAATCCAACACAAGGATAAAGGAT